GCCTCAAGTTTGGACACAACACTTCAAAGTCACTTGCTTTCTGTACAAAAACTCCCCTCCAGTACCTTCCCTCAGAAGGGAGTAGCTTCAGCACAGGATCATGGTATATAGGTCAAGTGGCTACTCACAACACATAGGCTGCTGAGGAGCTGGTCCAAGAGAGGTCAAGCAGGTTCCATTTCATTGCTGAATTCCTCTTTTCTGATCAGCAGTTCACCCTCTATCAGTCATGACAGTTCTTAAAGTTTGTCAATCAAATCCAGACATACAATGATACTCACTGTGCCTGGAAAGGTTGTTCTAATGTCCGGAACTGAAGAGAACAAGATCTCAGTAGAAATAGAGAGGTGGGATATAGTAGAATGTGACCTAAAATGAAATCATGTTCCAGGAAAATATAGATATATTTTTATTCAGAAATTGATCCTTTTATTCAGAAATTGCTTACACAGTCCAGATTTCTGCTGCATGAAGCATCAGTTTTATACATGCTACATCTATCCGTTTATGCCTCATACCTATGTCTTTGCTGCAGCCTGATAAGCTGTAAGACAATCTCTGTCCTTTCAGTTTACCCCTTCCATCCTTGGACGAGTTATGTGTACATTTCTGACAACCCTGTGGTCTTTCTTCTCGCACATTCTCAGCGTTCTCTTTGATTTTGAGCTAAGTCTGAAGCATTCCTAGTTTGAAGACAAAAGAGTAGAAGGAGGAACAGGCAGGATGAGAATGTAATTTTAATTACTGCATGAATTCTTCCTGATGGAATGTTTCATACCTGCACAAAGAATGGCAGGTCTATCACACACAAAGTCCTCCCAGTGTCTTTCTTGGTAAGAGTTCTAAGGCAGCATCCTTTTCCCACTCACGGTCCTTAAAGTAGTGGCTTATTTCCACTGCCGTAGGAAGAAACCACCAAGCCAAGTCTTTGTGACGTACTGTGAAATCCAACTGCATAAGATGCCCGTTCTGAAATAAACTACATACGTGTTCATGCACAGTTGGTATCGTTTCCACCACTGTGTTGTGACTCACAGCCTGCCCCTTAACTGCCCCTCGATTCCACTCTCTGCATTTACTCGTACCTGGTCTCACGTGCCCCCATAATCACCTGGAAGTGATTACATTCACATGGACACTCACACAGGCACAAGAGGAAGTTAGTAAGTTCACTCTTGTTTCTCCAGCCGCTGGTACCTGTGATCTGTGGTCTGGCTCCAGGCTGTGTATCCACCTTCTTTCCAGTAGGCAGCAATGTTACACAAGTCACAACAGAAACACCTTAGCTCTCACATTGTGTCTTCCATGTTTGTCCTTTGAACAACCTTTTTCTCCTTCCTGAGACAGAAAAGTTACTCTGAATAAAAATGCTCATCTTGGAACAAGAGAGAAACTCTCATGGGTCTGACAGTAGAAGACTGTTTTGCCCAGCAGCACACGCATGGTTTTGCCTTGACTCAGAGTTCCGCAACAGAGAGTAATCACAGAATAAGCTCTGGTGGTCTCCACAGACTCTTTCCTTTCCCATTAAGTCTCTGAAATAGTTTGACTGTCCAGGAGCTAAGGCCTGGCTTTTGTCAGAAGAAAGGCTTTTTAACAGGTCTGGCGCAACAGACCTTCTTAAACGGAGCACAATTTTTTGCCTCAATTATCTTTTGCTTCTGTCTGGCAGAAGTCTTGAGTTGTGAGGTGTAATTGTCTTTCATGTATTAAGAGCGCCTCTTCAGAGTGGAAGAATGTGTGTGTAAATTTAGTGGAATAATGAACTTGGGAAGGCTGTCCTGAATTCAAGCCACTGCTGAACATCAGCTAAAAAATCATTGTTTGGGTCCATGGCTGATAGGCCCAGACATGCACAAAGATGAAATGACGGTCAGAGCAACATCCAGTCAAAATGTTTTGGTCTGAAAACACTCCCACCTTTTTGTCATGAGCTCAGATCTCTGCTTCTCTGGCAGACGGGCCAAAGACAGACAAATCTCACAGCCACACAAACGCTTGCTTTTGCTTTTAATGGCTCAACAACAACATTTTCCAATGTGAAACGTGTCTTCTCTGTCCTCCGCCCAAGCTGATGGGAAAATCTGAACAAGGCGAGGGGTATCAGTCTCTCCAGCCTCTCTCTCCTCCCTCATTCTCTTCTGGGACAGCTGCTCCTCGTCATGCTGACCATCTTGCTTGCTCTTCTACCTGGTGAGAAACTGCAGATCCATCTGCGCTGTTTGGCTTTCTTACTGGCCAGGTGGGGCAGGTGCAAGGTGAAGAGTTTGTGAGGCCACTGTGTTTTCTTTTTCTCATTTTCTCTCTCTCGCTCCTTCAGGCTCTGGAGTGGGACACACTGTCACGCAGAGGCCAGAATATGCCCTCAAGAGAGCTGGAGAGAGTGTGGACCTCACCTGTTCTGGCAGGCTTGCCTACGTCTTGTGGTACCAGCAGCCTTCAAGAAATAGTCTGAAGTTAATAGCCAGCACTTCTCGGTGGCATCAGAATTCTTATGAGGAAGGTTACAGTGAAGCCAAGTTTGAGATAAGCAGGGACAAGAACAATCTCTCCATTATGACTATCAAGAATGTGACATCCAAGGATGCTGCCACTTACTTCTGTGCTATGAGTGATCACACAATGCAGCAAGAGCATTAAGCATTTACACAAAATCCTCACCCTGCCTGAAGGAGAGACAGAGTCTCTGTAAAACATGAGACTGATTGGAGAGGGGCAGGAGAAGAGCAGAGAGAAAACCAGGGCAAAGTCAGGGAATGGAGCCCGGACTCT